TAAAGATATATCAAAATGTATTACATGTTTTGTTTTCAAATCTTCAGAGTTGATAGATAATTGAATGATGTATCACTGGTAAGAAAATCGAAGGAATTGGTCTATAAAAAGCATCCGTGTAAAAAAGCGTCCATTACTTATTGATCACCCCTCGTATGTACCACTTTAAATGTTCACAGTTTATCATGTTTATTGTAAATTTAATTATGGGCAGTTATACACCCCCTGGGGTGTCATAGCCTGTATTATGTTGTAATTTTTGTAATGAAAACTGAAATAAATTATTTTGAAATTGATTGAATTGATTTAACTGGAGTGATGCGTTGTCATATTACTACATACAGTATGCCGGGGGTTAAACCTATTCTTATTACTAGTTTGACAGGCGGGTGGAATTCATTTTGACAGAGGGGAATCGAAATCATTCGATTTCAGCGATCGGGGAAATCATCAGATCAAAACAACAAAAATTAGGTTAGATAGAAAGTACATCATGACCTTCCATGATTTATTAGAATCAGGAAAGGTTGGGGAAGGATACTTGAAAGAACAGTCACCATTCCCTCCATTGATTTATGCAGATATTTCATTTATATCATCAAATCACATCAAGTAGGACCAGTAAGTGAGTTCAAGTATAGCGACTGTTACTCTTGCTGACCGTAATTTCTGCTCAGCCCAAACGTCAATGTCCTTTGAGCCTAAGGCCTAGGAGAGAAGCGCGTGTGCACCAGTTGCAGAAAACAATCAATTGCAAATTGTCATAATAAGATATATTCTGAGTAAATTGGATGCTCTTTCCATGAAAGGGTTTAATCAGACGAATCAAATGATCAATTTGAAGTGTATACAAGCCATTGCCCAGAATTTTTCCAAAAATACAATGCGCATGCGCAAAACCTTGACTTCCGGTTTTTAAAAGTCAATGGGATTTCCTCAGTTGAAAACTTTTGAACGTTAACAGAACGCGGGACTTTGAAATGGCACCTTAGTCATCTCAGGTTCCTGTAACTAGGTACTAATGCCTATCAATCTAACCCACTTTGAACAATCTAGGTGTCACAAATTTTCGGCGAAATAACTTTGAAATAAATTAACAAAAATCACCTATTACGCCATTGAAGTCAATGCAAAATGACGTCAAAATGATGAAAGGAGTAAACTTCAACGGTGTGGTAGGAGTAGTAAAATACACGTGGAGCCTTAGTCATCTCAGGTTTCTGTAACTTTGAAGGTTGATCTGTTTGATTCCGTTGAGATTTGAATCCTCATACCTTTAACTTTTCGGCCAATTTCAAACAAAATATGTTAACTTTTGGTGATATAACTGGTTCATTACATTGGAATGACGTCAAAATAAAACAAGACAATCTCAGTTTCTATGGCACTGACGTCATGACGTCAGATTTATCTTAAGATCTCAAATATGACGTCATGTTTAATCAATGAATGACATCTATCGGCTATTCGACCAATTCTGTGCAATGCAATCTCGCGTTCAAATAACCAGCCGCTGATTCCGAACGAGATGTTAATTTTCGAACGAACCTTCCAATATCGGAGACAAATGCATATTTACTTAATTTCCCGCCTCTTGTCTGTAGTTAATTTAGAACGAAGGCAAGCTGATGACCTGTACGTGAGAATTACATTGATTTAATTGACGATTCTTCACCCGTATAAACTAGCTATATCCCTGGGCAATCAGACCCCGCCGGTCTAGCTGAAGAGGGTTATGAGTAAACAACAAGTAGACGCACTGCGCATGCGTAAAGAATGTCTTGAAAAGTGATGCGCGCAGAGTTGTGCGTTTTAAGATAATGCAATGGTCATTAGTATAAACAGATTGTCTGAAAATTCGTGATATAGACAGAAGTGCGATCTGTTAATGATCTCTACTCTCGATAGAAATAAGTCCAAAAAAACTGTTCATTAACGATCAGCTCGGCCACACGCATCGAAACCCGATAATAATGCCAAGAAAATAAACATTTGCATGGACAAGCGTAAATATTTGTGTCCGAGCCACATCTCTATATTTAGTCAACCTATGCATTGATTTAGCTAATTACAACTTTTCCTTAATACAGTGTGTCAAATAAGTCTGTTCTTCCACTCAACTTTTAATTTTTGGTTGTCAACTTTCCAAAATATCATTTTAAAGCTTATGGAAAATGCTGGTCACCCTTAAAATCAATAATGAACTCTTTCGAATAAAATTGCTATAATGTTTTTTGTAAGGTTGTAGTTGACCTTTGATTATGTCAAAACAAGTAAAATTACCAAGATAGTGAATGAACGGTGAAAAGTTGATACTGCAATTATGAAGGACAGGGTCAAGAAATTAATCGAAGATCAACCACAGGAGAAACTTCATAGCCATGAAACATTGCTCAAATGTATCAAGAAAGATCTTTGAAGCCTGGAAAGAGCAACACCCCTGTTTTTGAACATTTTGGAATCGTATCACCGTAGAATTGAGGCTGTTTGAGCTGCTTTAGGGAAACAAACTATCAAAAATGTGAAATATGGACATCACTCAAAATGCTCTAAAAATTTGAAATTCAACCAAACGCAAACTGAATTCCCTTTAAGATGATATATAATAACCTTTTGAGATATATAAATTAAGAAAAGTTAAGGGGGAGAACAGACTTATTTGACACCCTGTAGTACATACTCATTTATTTTATTTTTCGGTTTCCATATATTTAAACATTGACTCATTCGCCTTAAATGTCATGAACGGTTTGGGCCTTTATAAACTAGGACAATTTTTCCATGGGGACAATATTCTCTTTATCAAAAGAAACATTCATTCGGGAACTCATTACCTATAGAAACTAGGAAACAAAATACCAATAATGATAACCGAAGTTGATCCGTAATACATGGTTTCAATTAAAGTCCAAATAAAAGCAATTCGCATCAAGATCGATCGAGGAAAATTGACGTTAGGCGGGGGGTATAGTATGGGCCATTTGATCTTAGGAAATCTAATGTTTAACCGTCAACAAGTCAGAAATATTTATCCCGAAATGACTAGTATCGGATTCTTTTTCCTGGTGAAACCCCAAATACATGTATTTTTTAACCTAGCTTTCCATCCTCACCTCCCAATGTTCAGTGTCTGTATCAATTAATGATGAAAGTCTGATTCGCAATTATGTTCTTGTGTTTGACGTTGATGATTTTTTCAAAATCTATAAAATTTTATTAAGTGATTCCAGAGGGCACGTCCTGTTGCCAGACTTATTGAGGAGAGTGTACGCCCAACAGAAAGTATAGTCTCCCAATGGATCGCGTTTCCCCTTCTATCATGGCCCATGCTGGCCCTGCTTGAGTTAACAATATTCATTTGGTTCACTTTAAGCCTCGCAAAAATTGCCGGATGACCAAATTATTAGGGGTTTGGAACTGACTTATCGTTTAATGCTAAATGGGAGTCTGTCCTTGAAAACAAGATCAAATGGCCACCCCCTGAAGTTCTATTGGAGAAACTATTAAATTGTGACTTTATCTGTGTCCCGGCAAGAAATACCGCATTAAGTCGAGCGGATCGTTAATTCAGACATAAGTTCAAATGTTAACGGAGCTATGAATACGAAGACCACTTAATCAATTTCGCAAGATGATATGGAGTACAATACTTGATTAGATGGTGCTGTTGATTTGGGAGTTGTTTACGATATGGATGGCTGTGCAAGAAAGCCAGCGGGAGTTTTTGCTAATATGAGTATGGATACTTAAAAGTAGTTCGTAAAGCTAAATATTACGCAGACAAATATGATGGATCTATCGATGGAATAATTTACCACCACTCGATCCTAACGACAATCGGGATTTTCAGAGTTACACGTTATATCAGAGAAAGTATTTTTACTTATTCACTGATACAATATGGAAATTGAGAGTTGAGTTGCTTATTGTTGTATGCGTTGATTTTGTTTGCATCAGGCGGATTGAAGTTTTTGAGTTCGCAATTCTCAAGAGACTACGCTACAGCTAACATTGACACAATTGACGCATCAATATGGGGACGCGTCAAACGTACGATATAAATTATTGCTAAACAAAGAACGCAACAAAATCAACACCTAGGAAATACACAATCACAAAGGAAACCTCAAAGTGGACACAATACGGAGACACATTAAATATGACACGTCGTTCATATGGCAGCTTGGAAATATAATAAGGTACAAAGAAATGACACATTGTACAAAAGTACGTATTTGTATAACTTGACCATAATCATTCTTGACCATATTATGGTCAAAGTGGACTTTTTTCAATATCGAGTCAGACTGAGTGCCCCATTAGGATAACAAAACAAGGTAAAAACAAAACATACAATTGCAAGCACATATGGATAATAGTGAAGACACGCCTATGTGATGGTAAAGAGGTTATATGGTCAAAACACACTGAGGTTATGAAAACTGAGGTCATGATCAAAACATACTGAGGTAACGGTCAGGGCATACTGAGGTTATGGTCAAAACACACTGAGGTTATGGTCAAAACACACTGAGGTTATGGTCAAGACAAAATGTTAATGAGGTTATGATCCAAACATACTGAGGTTATGGTCAAAACACATTGAGGTTATGGTCAAAACACATTGAGGTTATGGTCAAGACATACTGAGGTTATAGGCAATACATGTACTGATGCTATGGTTAAGACATGCTGAGGTTATGGTCAAGACGTAATGAGGTCATGGTCAAGACATACTGAGGTAATGGTCAAGACATAAAGATTTTATGGTCAAAACATTCTGAGGTCATGGTCAAAACATACGGAGTTTTAGTCGAGTAATTAAGTTATCAATGTCAAGTCATAACACATTTAGAAATTACCCTTAAGCTAAGAGGGCAAGTAATAATCACTCCACTCTGATTTGAAGTGTTAAACTTTTGATGCTAATGGCCCAAATCCGTTTAACGCTTTATGACCCAAAACTAGCTATCATATTGTTTCATTGGAGTTTAGATATGAATGCAATCTATTTTATGACTAGTAATCTAATTGGGTAGCTTGATTTTGATCGACCTTTTCTGATTGGATAAGTCTATATTGATGATTGTCTTTTATTAAGAGTGTCTCTTTTGTGTGTGCGAAATCAAACCACTGAGAAGTGCACTAAACGTCCAAAGCTTATTTCATTGTCGTCATCGATGTATATCCTGAAGTTAGAAGCAGGTCTGTTTTATCAACGAATCTATGATAATTGTTCGAATTAGTCCTGCTCACCTGTGGCTTGAGGGGATCAAAGCAAATGAGATAATTAGAAAAGGGTGTGTTTCGTACTTTATAATGTACTAGGTGGCTTTGATGAGGAACGCCGGCGGAAGAATCGATACATAAGCAGCTCACTCAGAATTACCGTAGTAGTACGCTAATCCCGACTTTTAATAACACCATTTAGGAGACGCTGCGAGAGATGGGATAACAGAGGATAACGCCTTTCATGTTGCTCCTCTAAAAAGCTTTTATAATACGTGTTTGTCAAATTAGGTTGAGGATTGATGCGATTATCTAAGTAGACAACAACATGTCTTCGACAGAATTGGGAAATTAGGCGATATCCAATTGCACTCCACGGAGATAATAGCTTAACATTAGATCAACGACAAGATTTAGGAATAAATAGATAACATATTTTATTTCTGGTGCTTTCTGAGATTAACTTAGCACTAATGGGAAGGAATTGGAACAAATATGCAAAATATGATTTCTTTACTATAACGACGATAAGACACTAAACCCGATAGATCATTCACTAGAAAAATTCACGACGATAAATTTGCGTGTTTTACAAAAAAACGGAAACATTTGAATAACAACAGGTAATTTGAACTGATGTTATAATTAATAATTTAGGTATAGACTTCATCGAGGATACTTTCCATTATCTCGTCTTTGTCCTAGTAATATGGACGACACTCCCTTGAAACGAACAGACAGCGAAGTCGCTATTGCGAGAAAAGAAGCTGTCAAAGAAACCGCAGAAATGGCCTCGAAGAAAGAAAAGGATGAATACAACGCTCATAAAAAGAAAGCCGTAAGAAATCCAGAGATTAAAAAACACACTGATGTCGAGAATAATTCAGAAAATAAAAAGGGGGAAAGCAAAACACGGCACGATGGTAAAGATCTTCCCAAGAAAGCAACTTCCATAAAACATGGTGCAAAATCAAAAACTAAAAAATGCGATGATGAAATAATCACGCGCGACCCTAAAGAACACCAGAAACGGACAGTAGCCGAACGTAAGAAACGCATGGAACTTGATGATAGGTTAATGGCTCAAGAACTTGCCTGTCAACAATACTTTGTAGACCCAGTTATGACATTAGAGTATCCCCCAATGCGAAACCGACGAGTACGTGTTTCAAATGGAACTAGGGAACTCTTACAAAACAAACAAAACTACTTCACAATTGTAAAACTGATGACGTTCACTGGGGTGCCGTTCTTTGTCATAAACTGTGTCGCTGGAATCGAACAGTCGGCGTTCTGGTGGTTGTGCCATGGTTTTCTGAACGCGCTCATTAATCTTTCCATAGTTGCAACTATTACATTAGCGCTTCAACGGAACATGCTAAAACTCCAAAAATTTAGTTTCTTTATGTGTTGCATCTCCATAGGAACCTCCTTATTAGCAGTTGTGATCAGTAGTATTGGGATGTCTTTAGATCGCATCCAGATTATCACAGGAATAGAATGTAATGACCCTTATATCGTTATAAAAGGCTTTGCTTGTAGGAATTACACTGACCCTGTAACGCACACGTTGGAATACGAGGCGGTTAGGGTTGGTTACAACTCGAAACAATCCATGAACCTCGCCCTTGTTGTCCTTGGACTTGCTCAAATCATGCTCAACATAGGAGCCATTCTAACTGGAAGAACTTTCATTTTCGATCTTGATGACGACAACTCAGATCTCGAGGAATGATGCTTTTACTTGTTATTTGCATGTATACACTCATACTGGCTGTTGTTCGTGTATTAGTGAATGAAAGCATTAACGTAATCGTATACCTACATAAAACGTAGCCTGAATCGGATTGCCCGTTACGTCTGTTTATATATAATTTTCACATTTTCATTTGTTAAGGTTATATGACAAATTAGGATTTATTTCTATAGTCTACATTTAAGTAGGTTTGTATTTTTGATATAAAATTTGTCTAGAAACTAACGTTTTGAAAATACCTCATACGCATCTACAAAGGGTATCTTTGTTGAACTTTTGAAGGTAAGACGTTGTATAAAATTCCTCAAATTTTCAAAGATTGATGTTTGGAGGACGCATTTTGCACGGCATAAGTTAAAAGCTCCAGAATATGTCTGAGTTTTGTTATTAATGATATGTAAGTTTGAGAGGCCAAGTACATGTACGTACACGATGTTAAATAAACGAGCAGAGTTTTGATCCGATACTTAACACGTTGTATAATGTATACCATTACGTGACTGGATATAATATACTTGTCTTAATGAATTATATATAATCCCGGACTATTCTCAAAAGAATTAGATATCGTTTTACATGAAACAATGGTGCAATATTGACTCTTGTAATGTACACTCAAAGAACACAAAGGGACCATAATTATACCTGGATATATGCTGTGGATGTGATTAATTAACAAAAAACCTGCCCTGCATTATCAGATACCTGCCTATTGTAGTGCCAATTAAAATGATTCATAACGTTCTTTTTCATCACGTCTATTTTTGTGATGGTATTTATCCAATATTAATGCTATGTTGTATTTATGTACAGGATTTACTGCGAGGCTCATATCAGATCTATGTTGGTTTTGTAATAATAAGCAGAAGTTTATAGGATGATAAACCACGGTACTAGCTTCTAGTTTAAATCTTCATTTCTGCATGATAAGCCTTTTATTTGAGGAAGCAGAGTGTAATTGTAAATGTCAAGTAAAAGAGGAAACGCCTGGTTGAAAACTAAGGCCATTTGGAATTCATTCCGTGTTGTGCGAGTTTAGGCCATGTGAAATAGTCATTTATTTTGCGTCCGAATTTGGCAATAGAAAATTCGTTCTATGTTTTGCAACGAAAGAAAGCGTAATAAACTGGTTATTGGAAGTCTTACACTCCCTCCAAAAGTTTGGCAATAGGAATTCCCATTTTGAACCAAGCGGTAAACACTCGGTGTCATACCAAAGATTTATTTACCCGGGGCAGGTTTGTGTATTGAACGAAACGAAACTACATCCGGGGCTTCGTATGGTCCTTCTCATATTATTGGTTGATAGACCAGTATACGGTTTATACCTGAACGCCAAATAGATTGAATTTGCGAACATGGTACATGTACGTTCCAGTAGGCTATTACATTAATCTGGACAAACTTAGGAGCCAAATGAAGCTTCAAACACGAATAGTTTTAACAGGCTATTTTAGCGGGAGTGTGACTTGCTAAACTTATCATAAAGGGAGTGTGTATATTTGTGTGGCAAAGAAATAAGCAATCACTTTAATTTTATCATGACAACGTTGGTCTAAGTAAACAACTTTAATTAATTAGTAATGAAACTGTTAAGTTGCATGCAATGCAGTTCATCTTGTGATTGATGACACGATCATGCTTATACTCTGGCTACAATTTTGCCATCGATTGAATTCAATGTAGACACCTGTCGTATAAAGATAAAAATGGCGCGATTTCTTTGATTTTTTAACTTAAAGGCCCACTTTGCGTATTTTCAACGTTTTTAGGCAAAATAAACTTACATTTGAATTTCATAGTATGTCCATTGTCCAATGTATTGATAAGAACCACATCAAAGCTTACAAAAATTTATTAAAAAATATTTTCAATTTTGTCTCATTATTCAATGCTTGGATTTCTTCAACTGAAAGGCCATGTGAAATGTATCCATGTTTTTCGTCCATTGAAAGTAAAGTTAAAGGGTGCGACAAACAACCACAAACGGGAATAAACACGAACTCCATTTTGGGGATATGATTGTATGTTTAGGTACTGTGTACTGATTAGGTACTGTGCCAAAGGGTGTTCTATATATCATATTATAGGCGAGACAAGAGACAGTTTATATAAATGATTAAATGTGAGAAGCGTTAGTGTTAAGCTGGCCAATGTTATTCTTCATTTTTTCATCCAAATCTCAAGAACCTCGACTCATATTACGCATTATTCGTTGTCTACTTTTAATGTGGTAAAATGGGAAGATTAAGTAATATAAGAAACAGAATGAAAAAAACATTGTGGAAAATTGCAACAATCATTGAATGATATGTTATTGGCCAGGAAGGTCAATGTTCGGAAATATGCCGCAAACACTTCCGATTTCGTTCAGTGCGAATTAATGCTTATTTCCATATATCAAACTTGCATCGATATTCGTGGATCTTGTAACATCAATGTAAGCAAACTTCAAATAATATGGTAATGTTTGGCTTAATTTTGGTTTAACTTAAATACAAAACGGATTCCTGTGTTATGATTGATCAGCGATGCATTTTATTCGGATAATTCCTTTTTTCATCCCTCGTTAGATCTAAAGCCGGGAGATTGTGGATGTTTATGAGCTAAATGTAAATAGAATATTGATTGATCACCATAACAACGATGATTTATTTTCATAACAACAAAAACATTTCTTGACAACGGAGCCAGAAAAAATAAAACGTGCGACTCGATATATCACAAAGATAAGACATTATAACTCATTTTAAGTCGACATTTAATTTGCAAGTAATTTTACCATCGATGATCGTCAGCCATGTGTAATCCACAAAGACAAAATATTGAGCAATAATCAACATAGCATGTTATCCGGGCCTTAATTTCCTTCTTTATTGTGAGTTAGACGTAGTATCAAGATTTAAAGCCTCAAAAGAGAGCAATCAGATAATTCGTGACTATGTCAGTAAATTTTGTACGATGACATTACGTATAGCACTTCTAGGCAAACGTATACGATGCAAGGCCGGCATTGCATATACTTTTTGTGTCTTTAAAATTAATGATTTAAGCGTTGGACTCAGTGCATTGTGTGCTGAACCATTCCACAAAGATGTTGTTTCCAAAATTAAAGGATAATAACCATTGGTTTGATAGCATCTATATAGGTATATAGGCTTTTTCAAATTGCCAAAGTTCAGGTTCAACAGATTAAAAACCTGGTGCATGTTACTGATTTTAATAAAATTCGTAAACAGAGACAATGTAGCTTGTGGATTGTCTATCGGATTAACCATTGCTTGTCATCCTTAGATTTTTATTCACTATGCGAACAATACAATGGAATCAATCAAATTTATATCGATCGTAATATGTCAAACGAAGTCCAAATTCACTGTCAGAGACTGACATATTATTTTCCATCCTGATTCATATCACCCATAAATGTTAACAAATGCAATGGCTCATTTTTTTATTTCTGCCTATAGTCTAAACACAATTGCAAATCATAATGTCACAAGTCTAAATGGTTATGCGTTATTCAAAGTTTCTTGAAACTATGTACTGAACTTTTTATAAAAGGAATACCCTTTGTGAAGGAGAGCTTTGCTAATCTCGAGCCCATTCAATAAAAATAAACTTATCAAATCAGGGGGCCTAGGATGTGTATTGTACAAAAAAGAGCTTGAAATCTTACCAACTAACATCTCATTTTGCCAATAGCTAACAGCCATGCATTTTATATCTAAACTCCAACAAAATGTTATTACTGATCATGAATAAACGCAAGTAGCTTACGCGTCCGTCACTACCTCACAGTTACCGTGACAGTGCCGAGCTATGTGTTTTTAGGGCTCCAGACTGCTAAAGACAACATATCTTTTTAGTACCTTCAGAGGGTCGAATTCAAATACCAGCCTCGGATCTCAGGGTACGAAAGTACTTTACAGCTGATGCAACTTTACATTGAAACTAAATATTTACGCTCCTTATCGATTTGCAACTGATACCAGTAGTAATAAAGTTCAACTTAATCAAAAGGGAAAACCATACGGAAGATCTCCACATTAGTTCCACTAACTTTGACTTGTTATTTCTGAGATAGTCGGAGATAAGTCTCGGTATGATCAGGCCAGTCTGACTTGGAATACGCTTATTTACTACTACTCACAACTCTATCACATAAATCGCTCACTAGGAACTCTTACGTTACGTTGGGAAAGGCAGGCAGGGGCGTAGCCAGGCTCATAGCAAGCTTTTGCCAAGGGAGGGGGTTCAGTTCCTCTACAAGGGGTTCACATTTGATCATTTTGGCCCCAAATCACTTGAAAATTGTTCAAAACTGTGAAAAACTGGACGAATTCGAAAGAATGTTAGCTATAGAGTCTAGGGATGGGCGAGGCAAAGTCTAACATAGAATAGGACATAATGTTACTATTGGATGTCATGATTATCATAGTTGTACTAAAATTGTTCTGAATATATTACTTTTCAATAAAAATTTCGGTCACATTTTGTCCATTTAAATTTGATGTACACTAAATCATCGAGGCTGCTAGTAAATGCTGCCCTCTGAATAGCAAATGATGCCCTCTAAATAATAAATGACGCCTTTTGAACAGTAAATGATGCCCTCTAAAAAGGACAAATAAAGCTCAAAGATCTTAATCCCCTCTAATGTAGCTAGTAGCTGAAATTCACTATGCAGGTCAGCGAAAACCCATTTTGGTCTTGCTTTATCCTTTTGCGGCAAATCTGGGTGATAGAGCCAATAACAATTCATTCATTAGTTCAGCAAGACAAAGTTATTTAATCGTTCGTGGAAGTATATTATAAAGACTTGTATCAAGTTGATGAGTTATATGTATCAAGGAGAACGCGTATGAGAGTTAATTATAAGGTTATGAATGAATTAATACTTAAGTAACTTCTATTGATGTAGGTTAAGAACTTAATACCGAGAGGTATTCTTGTTTAGATTGAACAGAATTGAGTAATTCCGCATATATTGTAGAGTTTAATTAATTAGTACTTGAACCTTTGCACTAAAGCTTGTTAATTGATGTTATGCGCATGCGCAAACATGTCGGTCTA